TCTATCTATCTGTCTTTTCCTATTCTATTTCAGATACTATAAATCTATCTATGTATCTATCTATCTGTCTATCTATCTATTTATCTCTCCATTTATCTATCTGTCTTTTTTCTTATTCTATTTTAGATACTATCTATCTATCTATCTATCTATCTATCTATCTATCTATCTAGCTAGCTAGCTAGCTAGCTAGCTATCTAGCTAGCTAGCTAGCTATCTGTCTTTTTTCTTATTCTATTTCAGATACTATCTATCTATCTATCTATCTACCTATCTATCTATCTATCTAGCTAGCTAGCTAGCTAGCTAGTTATGTCTGCCCTTATATATATATATATATATATATATATATATATATATATATATATATATATATATATTGTAACATTTTTAATTAGATGGGAAAGTAATTTATTAAGCCAAAAAAATGTATTGAAAAGTCACTAATTTCAGAATCTTTTAGGGAATTTCTTTTCCTCACAAAAATAAATGCTGTTATAATATGGTGCAGTTAGAAATAAAAATAATAACAAAAGCGATAAAAATAGAATTAAAACCAAAAGAAATTGAAAGCTTAATGAAGCTGCCCGTGTTAAGCATCTACATACACTGCACGTCAAAATTTAAATTTAATATCCCTCTATCTTTAACGTAAATGTATATATATCATCTAAGGTGACCATATTATTTGACTGTCCTAGTTACGTGTATGGTAGCAAGTACTGGACAATCTCCTCAAGGCTGAAGAAGAAACTTGAAGCAACAGAAATGTGGTTCTAGAGAAAGATATTTCGGGTTATATAGACTGAACATATCAGCAACAACGAGAATTTCAAGAAAATGGAAATAAAAAAGGAAATTTATACTTAACTTTAGGAGGGGGAGGAGGAATTGAAATATCTGTGGTACTTAATGAGGCGGCGGGGGAACGAGACAGATCGAGGGGCAGAGGAAAGCATCGATGTAACATACTTGATGAGCTTGAGTAAATGGATGGTAGAACAGACTTTGGGAGAAATGGCAAAAAGATAAATATTATTAAGAGACAGGAAGATGTGGAGAGCTATGATCGCTTACTTTGTGAATGGAGGCGCAGCATAAACGAATAATGTATAGTATAAGGCAACCTTATTATTTCAATGTCTTTTATATTAAATGGCGCAACGAATGCATGGCACTCAAACACTACACAGACATACGCATATATATTCGATTAGCAGCATGGCCCGGCGTTGCCCGTGCTTGATTCAAAAATCGTACGACTCATACAGCAATCGCTATCACTTGACTTAAATTAGTTTTGCCCTTCCTTGCCTTTAAAAGAGTTCCCTTTGCCCTGCTGATGTTGGTACGTGCCTTACTTCTTGCCTATCTCCGAATTTTTTCTAAGCTCTATACTAAACATTAAATCTGTTATGAAAAAAGAACTAAACAAAATGAACACAAAACGACCAGCTTTTAAAAAAAGACTCGTAACTGGAAAAACCGAATGAAAAAAGAATGTTAACAACAAATACTTTTCCACACCCAACCTAGTTCTGCGGAATCAGAATCAACGTTGAATTTAAGCAAGCGAATGAGCCAATTGGAGTAAAGTGCCATGCGGATTTAAATTTTCCCCACTTGTAACGAATGCAGCTATCGATTTTTTTGCATGCTAGCATGCTAGTTAACATTCGTGTCAGTCAGCTGTTGGCTCTCACGCTGGCCAATAGAATCTTCCTGACTATTCGTGGCAGGCTCTCAATCTGGCCAGTAGAAAATGGCCGCAAACTACATGAAAACTGCCGTAGAAGCATGAAAAAATCGATTATTTCCATTATCGATGGGAGTTGTGAAATGCAATGTCAGTCTTGGCCTTCCCGCTAACTTGGAGCATGTGCATGAAATTTTGGTGCAAATCCGTCGAAAATTGCGGCCGTGCATTCGTTACACACACACAGTCACACATACACACACACATCCTGCCTTTTATAGATAGAGATATACATACACATTAGGCATTTCGACGTGATATAACGGTTAGTAATCTTATCTCGTTAGAACAATTACGACTGGGTAGCGATTTAGATCCTCACTGGGTGCCCATTATTTTCGGTCTTGTACCGCGTCTAAGTTTCGCTTAGAAAATCACAACTTCGACGTGGTGTAATGGTTATCAAGCTTGTCTCACTAAGACAGTGATGACTGAATTGTGAGTTCGATCCTCACTGGGTTCCTCATATTTCGGCCGTGTGCCACATCTAAGATACGCTTGGAAAATTGCTATTCAAAACCTTGGCAATTCAATGGCTTGTCTTGAGAGAACAGTTACGACTGAAAAGTGAGTTCGATCCTCACTGGGTGTGCCATGCTTTCGGCCTTGTGCCACATCTAAGCTCTGCTTAGAAAATCAATATATTGAAAATCTTGGGCATTTCGACGTGGCGTAATGAGGTAGCAAGCTCGTCTTCATAAAACAATTAGAACTGAGTAGCGAGTTAGATCCTCACTTGGTGGCATATATTTTCGGTCTTGTGCCTCATCTAAACTTCGCTTAGAAAATCGCCATTGGCAACTTCGATGAGGTGTAATGGTTAACAACCTCGTCTTGTTAGGACAAATACGACTGAGTAGTGAGTTCGATTAACATTGGTTGCCCCATACTTTCGACCTTGTGCCACAACTAAATTATACTTAGTATATCAGTATATATACATACGCATATATATTATACATACGTATGCAATGTCACACGCAGCCAGTGTATGACTGGTACAGAATCAGCTCTTCTTTCTTGAAATTTTGATTTTTTTTTCTACAGGCTTCAGTTTCTTCTAAATTTACGTCCTGGGTCTGACGATAATCTATACCCGACAGCAAAGCCTCTGATAGGGAGATTTTGATGGGCGTGGAGCCACCTCTTGATTGCTGCTGTTCCCAGGTCGACCCTGGTCCGAGGTGGTAGCACCTGTTAGCCTCCCAGCTAGGGATCAAAACAATATAAAAGTATAAAAATAGATTTTTATAGTAAAAATACCAGGAATACGTTTTTTTTAAAAGAAAAAAATAATATTACCAGCAATACATTTTTGAAAAAAAAAAACAAAAAAAAACAGCAATACATTTCACTCTGGACAAAAACTTTCTTTACGAAAATACATCAATGGAACCTGATCTACAAACTGATTTCTTACAAACAATATATATTCTATTCATACGAATCTATCCTAAAAATCTTGTCGTCATTAAATAACACACTTAATATGCCGTAAGAGAAAACTGAACTAACTTTTCCAAATTTTCTTCAGATGCTGTAGGAATCATTTTTATATTAACAACTTAGTTTGCAGGCAAGGTTGAAATGTCTTTTTATAATTTTTAAATTTTGATCAGTTGTAAAATAGCAACCATTACTGACCGAACATAATTAAAATTTCCTTGTTTGTAGAGATTGGATCTGTTCTTTCTATCCCAAATAAAATCATCCGTTCCATTTTTTTAAAATTCTATAGTAATTTATTATTATTATTATTATTATTATTATTATTATTATTTCCTTTGATTTCTGTTGTATAATCATTTACTTCCGAATCCCAAACCAGTGACCTAAGGTCAGAAATTGCTTCATGGAAAAAAAAACAAAACTCATTTTACATGAATAAAGCGCTTCGTAATGTGAGAGCTGTACTTGTGAGTACTTTTTTTTATTTCTTTAAGGCATGGGCTACCCGGAATTTCTCTATGTCTACCGGGAACATTTCCAATCAATTCGTGGGCTCAAACTACAAATGGAATTATTGATATCTTCATGTGCTATAGGTTTTAGATTTCCACTTCAAGATCCTTGGATTTTGATATTTTATTGAAGATCTTCAAAGATACATTACAATCGGCAAGGTCTAAGGTCTACCACGTCAATAAGACATCACATTCTGTTCTTCGGGTCTTTGATCACGAGGCCTCAGCGATTTAATGATTGTTCATTATTATTATTATTATTATTATTATTATTATTATTATTATTTCCTTTTGAATTCTGTTGTATAAGCATTTACTTCTGGGTCCCAACCAGAGACCTAAGATCAGAAATGGCTTCATGACAAAAAAAAAAAAAAGAAAAGAAAGTCAAACATATTTTACATCTTCGTAATGTGTGAACTGTACTTGTGAGTATAATATTTTGTATTTCTTTGAGGCATGATCTACTCAGAATCACTATAATGTGTCTACTGGAAACACATTCTTTTCTTGGGGTCTTTGATTACGATGTCTGAGCGATTAGCTTTGATTGTTCTGTATGTGTGTATTGTAAAGTTCCATAAAATTGCTACATGTCCTACATGTGTAACCGGGTCTGGGTGATGTTCATACCAGTTTCCAGCTGTTTCCCTCTCGTAAAAGTTGCATATTTTCCAGTGCAGATATTGGCCTACTCTATCATGCTGATTTTTATATTCACTTGGTACTAATACTGAGCAACCTGATACAAGATGGTCAGCCGTTTCTGGATATTTATCACAGAATCTGCATTTCGGGTGAACACAATTTATACAGCATGTGTACTTGGTAATTTCTAGTTGGCAAGCATTGGTCCTTCACTTCCGTTTCAGCTTTTAACCCTGCACTACAATGATGGCTTCCGAATTGTGAATATATATGGGCTAAACGCGACTATTCTCATTATCTTGTCGGGCCAAACACTTATTTTTGTCATACCTTTTAAGTCTGTTCACTGCTTGGCTTTCAATTATGTCTTATGAGTTTGTTGGTGTCTATTGATTTCAGTACGCTGAGGCTATGAGTTCCAATTATGTTGTTGTGGGACTGATGTGTTGAAAAGCACTGCGAATTCGTGTTTGTTAATCCTTTTTCCATATTTCTTTCTATTTTTGACAAACTTTTTTGTTAATATGCAGACCATCCTTTCTCAGATATATATGCTTCATTAGCTAAGTTTTTGGCAATGGCAAGAAAAATCCTTTCTACGAGCCCCAAGGGCATATACTGCTTTCATTTCTATGCATGTCACGCGCATTGCTCTTCCTGTGGCGGGGTGAGTTAGGAGTCTTTAATTTTCTGAACCAGGAAAATCAGATGAATTTTGGAAAAAGAATAAAAAATAAAAATACATCTATCAAACAACAACCAGGCAACGCCCCAATTAATTTTTTTAACGTTAAATTTGATTTATATTTTTTAATTAATAGTAGACTTGTAGAGTTTCATATCAGTGCTTGACTGACGGAATGAATGATCTTATTAACTAATGTTATTCAGTACCTGCTAATGTCTCTCTCTCTATCTCTCTCTCATATATATATATATATATATATATATATATATATATATATATATATATATATATATATATATTATTTGTAGAAGAAATAATCTTATAAGTATAAGAAATTATACTGTCCGGAAAACTTTCGGTGTCTTGATTGATTTATGAATAAACAAGCCAAAACCAAAGGAAAAAAAAAGGTAAAAAAAAGAAAGTACCAAGATCATGTACGTCAGCCAAAAATAATCGTCTAGCATGCAAGTCCAAAGTCCACAGAAAAAAAAACCGATATGAGTACGCAAAATAACTAAATTAATTGCTCAATACAATAAGTAGAGCAGACCTAGTTAAACTTAGAGAGTTAGATAAACCCTAAGCGGATCGTAAGGAAGCCAGCCTTCCTGACGATCCGCTTAAGTGAAACCTGTAGGTTTGTCTTTTCTCTAAGTTTTATATATATATATATATATATATATATATATATATATATATATATATATATATATATATATATATATATATATATATATATATATATATATATATTTTTTATTACTTGCTACGTTCTGTTTTCTCATCATATATGATCAACTATATCTGATTTCAGAGTCTCTCCATTAATTATAACTTTCCAATGTTTCGTGTGAGTTATTTGTTTGGTAGCGCCTTTGTTGTGCTACTATTCTTGATACAACTCCGTCTCATGATATATACATATATCTTTGTAATCTGGTCATAAAAATAACAACAAAAAAGTGAATAAATAGAAGAACCTCTCTATAATAATAATAATAATAATAAAAGTACTTGAAAATTCAGTTTCTGATATATATATATATATATATATATATATATATATATATATATATATATATATATATATATATATATATATATATCGCACAGATGTAACGTCTATGTCTCATCCATTGCATGTCATATCACGGTACTAATCCTCGTAGAATCACGTGACCCCGCAATACTTGCAGCGTAGTTGGACACCACGAGGCGGTGTAATGGTTAGCAAGCTTGTCTCTGTAGAACAACTACGAGTGAGCAGTGAGTTCGATCCTCACTGCGTGCCCCATACTTACGACCTTCTGCCACATCTAAACTATGCCTGGAAAATCACTACCTGCAGCGTAGTATGGATGTCATCAAATAACTAGTTCCTTCACTCGGAGTGTGCTCAGACTCTAAGTTGGACTAAAAATTGGTCTGGTGTGTTTAAAGGCATACCAATTCCTTGTGGGTCATTTAATTTCGTTGTAAAGTTTTTTACTGTTAACATTTATTGCTGGAAATTTTGTTACGTTTTGCTATTAAATTCTGTTTGCTGGAATTTTTTTACTGCATGTATTATTGGGACATTTTTCTCTAAAAATGTGTTTTCATATTTTCGCAGGGATTTGACCCCAGTTTAGGGGTTGTCTATTTTCCCATAGCTGGGACCCTAACAGGGACTACATTCTCCTTCAGGGTGGACCTAGCAACAACAATAATGAAGAGGACTCCAGACTCCTCGAAACCTCCTTGCAGCCGGATGTAGTTTTTTGTCATACCCAGAATGGAGGTGTAAAAATAAGACCTGTGAAATTGTGAATATATATATATATATATATATATATATATATATATATATATATATATGTGTGTGTGTGTACAGGGTGACACAAAAAATACTGGAATTTTTGAAGTGCGTATTGCCAGACATGAGCAAGTGGCAACACTGCGAGAGACTGACCTTGAGCAATTAAACATTTCGCCATTTAGAATTCAAGAGGAAATTCACAGTATCCCAGCTGAGATGTTGCAGCAGTCAATGAGGAATCTCAACAGCAAGTTTCAAGAATGCATTCGTACAGGAGGACGCCATCTACAGGACGTAATTTTTAAAAAATGAAAATTCCATCATTGTTTCATAAATGGCATGTTTTAAGGTTTCAATTACTATGAATAAAATATTTTTCCTTCATCACTCTTGGTTTTATTGGATTGTTAAAAGGTTATATATATATATATATATATATATATATATAGAGAGAGAGAGAGAGAGAGATGCAGAGATAGAGTGAGAGATACAGAGAGAGAGAGAGATGCAGAGATAGAGTGAGAGATACAGAGAGAGAGAGAGATACAGAGAGATAATACATCTCATATAATAATCAGCTTTTTCTTGGTAGATAACATTACTATTTGGAAACTAAAGTTAATCGCCGAATGATGACATCTGACTGCACAATCTGCATGGAATGTCATTCCTTCTACAAAAATGTAAACACATACGAGTTCATTTTTATAATTTGTGCCGGAATTCTAAAATTAATTAACGTGTAGTAAGTTTGCAGTAAATGGATCGTAATGCTGAATTGATAATAAACAAAAAATTCATCCCTTCTCCGCTTTCAAAAACAACACTAGAAATTGCAAAAGAATGATTTTTCGTTATTACCGAAATTAAAAGAAGTTTCTTTGACAATGCTAGCTGACTCAAATGCAAGCATAATAAAGAAGCTGTCGTATTTATCTCGTCGATATATCAAGAGAGAGATTGAAAAAAAAATAAAATAACTGACTTTACATATTTCTTAAATTGATCGGCTTTCGCAATGGGAAATTCTCAAAAGAGGCCACGATGTCGTAAGTGTATGGTTAACGGCCATCTAGCTCAATGGATTAGAATCAGCTCCGTAGCATTGTATACATGAGTGTGACGTTGAAACGGCATCGCTTAGCTTAGAGCTTCCTAGACTGAAGCTAACAGTCATGACCGATTGAAACCCTGACTAAAACAGATCTTCAAGTTAGAGGAAATCTGCACTTTGATTTGTATACAGCTGGCCTCTGAGAGTTCTACTTTATCATGACATTCAGAGCCTCAATAAATATCTTTCCTGCTTTCAATCCTAATGATGTTAAGGGAAGCGGTCAGGTGCTGAGCTGCGCGGAGTCTCTTTGAATATACCTGGTCATAAGACGCTGATGATTCCTATGACCACACGTATATTATTAAGCATGGTATGAATTTACATGTTCCAGTCTTTGTCTGATGACCATTTTTTGATGAAGGTCTCATCCATTGCATGTCACAATGATTGATAAAAACTGAAGCGATTTGGGATTTTTAGTAATATATGACTGTTGGGAAACACTTGTATAGGATATAAAGTAGTACTCTATTAAAACCGTTAAAATTTGAATACCAAATACCAAATTTCCAACTGACATGGATTTAAATACGGATATCTCTCTTAAATGTAATTTGTTGGTTAACCAGTATAATAACTGACTAGAATGTCACTCAAGTGTGACAGTGACGAGAAAACCAGCTCATTAAAACGGGCCTCTTGAAGAGGAAATTTTAAGAGCACAGGAATATTGAATTAATGATTATAACTTGACGATTCCTTTGTTGCGGAGTGCAGAGCGATCTTTAAATAGTAAGATTTACGTAGAATTGGTCCACTGAGAGGAAACGGTTATCAGAAGGATATTTTTGTTGTTTACCGTTTGTTAGTGAACACCGTTTGTATCTGACGATACTAGAGTCTGCCTTGCGTCAGTTTAATGGCCGGACCAATAAGAAACACATTTTTATTTTCAACTCAAGTAGACCTTTCCCGATATAAAATGTAGTAAAAGGAAACAAAACAAATGGATATAATAGACGAGAAGTACTCATGCTGCGAAAATTTCATGTAGTAATGGAAAACACATACATACATACATACATTACTACATATGTGTGTGCGTGTGAATATATATGGTCATCTATATATGTATATACGAATTTATTACATACATGTATATATATATATATATATGTAATAAATATCTATCTATCAATCTATGTGCGAATGTATTACATATATGTGTATATATATATATACATGTATGTAATAAATTTATACATATTTAGATGACCATACATATTCACACACACACACACACACACACACACACATATATATATATATATATATATATTGTCTGCGTGTATATGCATGCATATAAATTATAGTATCAAAGAAATAATTCTAAAATTATGATAGACTAGTAAAAGATAAACACACATACAATCATTACTACAAACTTATCGAAGACAGTTGTAATCTATCTATCTATCTATATATCTATCTATCTATCTCAGCCTGCACATATCTATCTATCTATCTATCTATCTATCTATCTATCTATCTATCTCAGCCTGCACATCAGAAAGCGACTGTTGAAATTCCTAGGAACCACAATGAGGAAAGTGAGCTTGTAGAATTCGACGCAGACAGGACACAATGCGAGTAAGAAACACTGGGACAACCGTGTAGTACCATAGCCACCCTTCTTGTGCAAATGAATGGCAGAACATGGTCTGGAAGATATAGCGAAGGGGTAAACATGACATAGAGCGGTAAGAAATTGTGGAGAGCCGTGACCACCAACGTCCTGGAGAGCAACTGCACACAAAAGAAGAAACGTAATACGACAGTGTAGTGATTTAATTTCTAAAAAGACGACACGGCTAAGTTCTGGTACCAGAAAAGTCTAAACTTTTTTCTTTTTATCTGTCATGTCCTTTCATTGCGTAGACGATCATGGCTCTTAATCACCCTTTGTCCCTTGCAGGTCTCAACAAGTTCCTTCCCCATGCCACCTCCCCCAGACCACGTTCTGTCATCCACTTGCTTAAGTCCGCCAGGTATGTCACGCGTTTTTTTACCTTTGTCTCTCTTTTCCTCTGTTCGACCTTTGAGTATCAGATTCTCCAGGTCCCGGAAACTTCAGCTACCTCTTCCTGATATTAAGTATAAGCCTCCTCCATCGTTGCTCACAGGCTCGGTCTATGTTATCCTTAGCATCCTCCTGTAGAACCCCATCTCCGTCGCCCCGAGTCTCTTCTTCATCTTTGAGAAAATTGTCCAAAATTCTCTGCCGTAAAGAAGGAAAGATTTCAAGTAACAGCTCAGCATTCTTTTGTTTGTTACGAAAGAAATCCTCCTGTCTCACCATACTCTGCCCAGCTTTTGGAATGTGTTCTTGGCCATCTCAATACGCCTACGGATCTCAGTGTCGGACTTACCGGCCACTGTTAAGACGCGTCCTAGATATTTAAAATTCTGCGTCTTTTTGATTCTAGTGTTCCCGACCTTATAAATCTAAGTCTAAACCTAATGAATTTTTTATTCACTAGTAAGTGGACATTTAATAAGACCAATTTCCTTGTGCAACGAATTCGATACTCACCGTGTGCCACACCTACAACGCCTTTTGCTGCGATAGAATCATCTCAAAAATTTGCAGAATGTTCTCTTAGTTTAATGACACAGCGTTTCTTTTTATTATTATTTTCCATTTTGTATTTTTTTTTTATTTTTAGCTGGGGACAGGGACATTGTGTGCCATCGATCTTTACCAGACAGACAAAATTACAGTAAACAAAAAGTAAGGAGAAAAATGCTATGAAGTATTTTTTAAATTATTGATAATTAAATAAGATTCGTCTATATCATTCGTGGTGAGGTGCGAGCAGGTGTTCACATAGAAAAAAAAAAAAAAAAGATCTTTGAAAGCAATAGGAGAAAAAAAAGACTTCGTTAGCTGATTTCTCTTTGTCAACACAGTCTTACATCAGCAACCAAAACCATATTAATTAAAACAGAAATATCATATATCATATATATATATATATATATATATATATATATATATATATATATATATATATATATATATATATAAAATATGTATGTATCTATAAATATAAATATACATATATAAAAAAATATAATATGTATGTATGTCTCTTTCTCTTTTCTCTCTCTCTCTATATATATATATATATATATATATATATATATATATATGTGTAAATTTATATATATTATTTATATATTATATTATATATATATGGTATTTATTGAAAAGCGCTCAATATCGTTGATAGAGCTAACATACTTAGTTGCAATGATGTGAGTTTGTGAAGCGATTATATACATATATATATATATATATATATATATATATATATATATATATATATATAGAGAGAGAGAGAGAGAGAGATAGAGAGAGAATGATAGACAAACAGAGACAGACAGTGAGGGAGGAAAAGAGAGAAAGAGTATATTACAAATTATAATGAAATAAATAATGCCTTCATATATAATATTTCGAATTAATTTTGAATGCCCACGCGTAAATATTTCTAATAAGATTTATCGGATATTTATGCCGGTAGATATAAACCTAAGTAATAACATAAACCTAAGTAATAACACACACACACACACACACACACACACACACACACACACAAACACACATATATATATATATATATATATATATATATATATATATATATATATATGCAAATAAATTATACTCGCTTGTTAAAAAAAATTATTAAAAACAACAAAGAAAGAACTAGAAACATTGAAACAGGGCGAAAAAAATTCAGCCTTAAATTTCCAATACACTAAGAGCAAAGGAATATATACATATATATATATATATATATATATATATATATATATATATATGATCATCGTTATTGTTTGTCTTCCTACATTTTTCCACACCGTTGTGTGTTTGTAGCCTTGCATGGGATTATACAGATTAAAATATATATGGATCACGTAGTGAGGATCGAAGTCACAGTAATAATTGACATGGAGAGACAAGCTTGTTAACCATTTACAATATATATATATATATATATATATATATATATATGGTGCGATAGGGAAATTGTCGCAATTTTATATTTTCAATTTCGCGTGCGCGTTTTTTTATTTTGTCAACTGCACAGTATAGTAAGGTCAGTCAGACACCGTCTATGAGAAAAAATGGTCACCATGACGCAATTCAGTCCACCAGAAATTTGAAAACGGCATACGTACTCCTTGTCATTCGCGCCGGAAGCTGCAATACGGACATTTTAGATTGTTTGTATGTGAATCTGAGGTCTGTGCAGAGGATTCGATAAGAGCTGGATTAGTCCAATGGTGATTAAGAAAGTTTTTGGAGTGATTGCTAGTTCTGGGGAAATTATGCCTCCATTCATCTTCCCATAGAGCCTCAGACACAACATAGAGATGATCATCGACTGGCTTCAGAAGATAATAGTGCCATGGGTCAAGAGGCTGGTTGCTGGAAGACTCTATATCTGCCAACAGGTATCTAGACCAAGCAAAACAAAAATATCCTAGTCATAGCTGCCAGACAATTTCTGCGATCACATCACCCCCTTACATTTGTCCAACTAGCTCCACTATCTGCAAATCTCTTGAGTATTATGTGTGGGGCGCAGTTGAGCGAGAGACCAACAAAACTCCTTGTGACAGCAAAGATGAACTGAAAAGGAAGGATTATAGCTGCTTTCACCAATTTAAAAAAGGAGACCGCCCAGTAGGGATGCAGGAGATTTCGCAGTCGTCTGGAGAAGGTGGTTGAAACCGATGGCGATTATACTGAATAAATTTATTCGTCATTATTTTTTATATATATATATATATATATATATATATATATATATATATATATATTTGTGTGTGTGTGTGTGTGTGTGTGCACGTATGTCTTATGTGTGCGAGCGGATCTATTCAAATAACGTCGGAATATTTTACATGTATACATTACTTATTTATAGATTTATATATCCTATAGTTTGTTCATATCTATCAATTTATCTATCTATGTTATTTTGTTCATATCTATTTATCTATCTACCCATCCATATATCAGTTAGTCTGTTCCACACACACACACACACACACACACACAAAATATATATATATATATATATATATATATATATATATATATATATATATATATATATCGGTTGTAACTGCAAAATTGTCCAATTATGAGAATAAGCTCTGAACCATTGTATCTTAGAAATGATTAAAGATATCTTACTGAATTCTCTGAGATTTTTATAGCCCTATTGGACTCCATTTTGAGCAATAAGAATGTATAATTACACTCTAAGCTTAGCAGAAGTATCGAGATGAAATCGATCAAGAACTAAAATGACATGTTCATCAATAATTAATAATAACTAAGGATTGGAAGCCCATGAAGTATTGAACTAAGATTCAGATTGATATATATTATTCCGGGATCATTTTCCAACTTATTCAAGATTATATTTGCCCTCTCTAACCTTTTAAATTTCTGTCCTGGAGTAAGAAGTTGCCTCACAGTTTTCACATACAATTTCATTTTCAAATATTTTCGCTGCTATTTGGACTGTCATAGCTGAAACCAAAACGTTCCAAATGTCTTTTGAATTGAATTGTATCTTCTAATTGATCCCTTTTATCTCTCAGTTGAAACGATGATCACTCTTCCTGTTATGATCTGCTGATCGAGTTTTCGTCTCTATTGTTCACACTTTTTTTTAAAGTTATTCACCGTTCTCTTGATGGTTCTTGAATGAACTTTGGAGATGGAAGCCAGAATATGAATGCTGGTAGCATTACTGAAGGTTTGAGAGATATTTTTCCCTCACCATTGTTCAGTTGGAAAGACAGTTTCACACAAAACAATTTTAAAGTGTTCTTTTTTAGCTGAGTAACTCAAACGGTTTTTCAGTGATTCTTACGACCTATGGTACCAAGATGTCTAAACGTCGTATCTGAAAACTTCGAAAGGATTATCTCAGACATTTTGTAGGATGGATAATTATACTGTTAAACGATATGGACAATTTTGTTACATTTGTTATATATATATATATATATATATATATATATATATATATATATATATATATATATATATATATATATATATATAGTGTGTGTGTGTGTTATATATGTATATATATATAAAGTCTGTATATATATATATATAGTGTGTGTGTATATATGTATATATATATTTTGTGTACATATTTATATACATAGTGTGTATACATGTATATTTATAGTGTGTGTGTGTATATATATATATATATAGTGTGTGTGTATATATATATGTATATAGTGTATATATGTATATATTTATGCATATAGTGTGTGTATATATATAATTCTATATATGTATATATATGTATATATAAATATATATAATGTCTGTAGATATATGTATATATATATAGTGTATGTGTGTGTCTATATATGTGTATATATATATATAGTGTGTATATATATATATATATATATATATATATATATATATATATATATATATATAATGTCTCTATTTCTAGCCTGTAAAATAATATCCGAAACAAAAATGGAAAAGCTCATAAACGACGTGTTTCGCCGACATCGGTTGGGTTCGAATTCTTCAGGCAGGTATGATTGACAAAACTGTGTGTTGGGGTCTTTGAGTGTAAGATGGGCAATACATTAAATTACGTCATCAGATCCAAGGACCAGAACGCAATCTCTTCATTATTTTAAACATTTTATAATCGTTTAAAATCCCGTCTCCTGAGGTAAAACGATTTAATGTCGGTTTGGCTCCTACGAAACTTACTTCGAGTATTTTGTCTTTCCTTACAGTGTGTGTTGCAAGTTATATTGATCTCTTCTCCTAATATTTGTTTTCTGGCAATAATTATATTTCGATTGGTTTTGGCGTGAAGATTCGATTGCGCACGAATTCTACTTCGTTTCTATAAGTGATCAGTTAACCCATGAGAGAGTGTAGCGCAACTTAAAGGTTTAGCATTTTTTTTTATTGTTGCCATTGAAACTGTAATATCTCATTTGACACAATAATTCAATCACCGATATGAGCCTTGTCAGTACCTAAATGGCTGACCCCTTGGGGATACCAGGTGGGGCAAGCTGGGATGTGCAGTTATTGTAATGAATAAAGGATAATGAATAATCGGAGAGACGAGTTCCAATTCCATTTGGGTTAATTATACTCACTCTCGTGCAAATAGCCTTACTTCTCTCTCCCAGCTATGGGTTAATTAGTAAAACTCGCATCATTAAATCATTATGATCTCCAAATATAAAATAAAATTGCGCACTAAATATTTAGATTCTGGCATTGAATAATCCATCGAGCATGATATTTCGCTAAACAAAAACAACCAACCAATCTTTTAATGAACACGTGTTTGCTAAGATGGATATGTAATCTGTGATGCAGACGCATACTCAGGTAAGTTTATGTTTCTTCATCTCCGGAAGCAATCTGTTGTTTATATTGTAACTAAGTTACAGCTTCTGGGAGTGAGCACATCGTCTGACGTGATCATTTGTTGACTAAGTCCAGTATGTTGTAAACACTGGTCACGATGACATCTGATTTCGCGCTAAAGGAAAACTAAAAATCGAAAAAGATATTACCTAGTGTGGTTCACTGATCATCAGATATAAGCAGGAACATGACGGAGCACCTTAACATACATCGCGTGCAATAATAAGTTTCTCAATGGGGAACATATTGGAGTGTTACAATTTCAACCTGCCCAAAGGACTAGCATAATCCATCATATTCGAAGTGAGTTGAAAACCCGTGTGTATCAGAGAAAACCAAAGGTCGTAAAGGATATTTGCATTCAATGCTAGGAGAAATGGCATAATATTCTTGATGAAACAATTTTCAAATTGTATCCTTCTATACAACGTCTATGGAGGAGCAAATAAGAACAACTAACCGAAGAGGTATCTCCTCATTGTACTGTAGAAAGCGATCGGTAGCAATACCTGGACCAGCGCAACCGACGGTTGTGGGGGCTCGACAATTTTGGTCCCTGGCACGGGTATACACGCTCGGGTTCTCTACATGAAACCGACCTTGTGTTACATCTTGTCACCGTGGAGAGACGAGTAAACATCATGGAGGCTCGAACAAAATACTGGAAAAACAATTCCGAAATATCTAAACGTCTGTAGTTGCTTGATTTTTTTTTTTTAATTGACGATTCGTGGTTCGAATCTTGGTCTTTTTCTTTTGCTGACACCCGTATATTCTGTCTTCTTACAATTGATCTATCGTCTGTTCTTATTTTTTCCTTACTAGATTGTGGAGGATATCCTGTAGTTTTCCTTCCATGTCTGCCATCAGGACATTGTCATCTGCTTATAAATTATTAAGACTGCGCCCACCAATAATAAATCCTGATAGGGTCTCCAGCTCCTTTAGGATAGCCTCGTTGTAAAGTTTGAATAAATCAGGTGAGAAATCGTACCCTTATCTTACGCCCTTTTTTATTGGACACCTCTGCTTGCTTCATTCTATGCCCTGTCGGCTGGGGCCCCAGAATACGCTGAGTGAACCTCTGCAGAGGGTAAAGATCCGCCCAATGAGACGTCCTGGGTATGACGATGAACTGCATTCAGCAGCAAGGCCTCTGATCAGGAGGTTTTGAGGAGCATGGAACAACTTTTTAGTTGCTGGTGTTCCCAGCAATACATTTTTGAAAAAGAAAATATTTCTAGCAATACATTTTTGAAAAAAAAAAAATTACCAGCAATACCTTTTTGAAAAAGGTATATTACCACCTATACATTTTGATAAGAAAACTGTTACCAGCAATACAGTTTTGAAAAAAAATACCAGAAATATATTTTTGGGAAAAAATATTTCCAGCAATAGCATTTTGGGAAAAAAAATTGACAGCAATACAATTTGAAAAAAAAAGTATTACCAGTTGTACATTTTCGAAAAAAAAAATTATTACTAGCAATAAAAATGTCGGCTTCAAATAACCCATTGAGGTTGATATGCCGTAAAACAAAATAAACCAAACCAAACACATTTTCTCAAATATATCTGGGATCCACCCCTTTTTCATACAAGTGGACTCGACCAGTGTATATTTGTACTGCTGTCAGTGAATACCCGAGAGGTAGAGTAATAGAGAAAGATACACTGATACAGTGAGAGTGTGAGGTAACCGCTTTGTAGGAGTCACAGTTGCGAGCACGTAGACTCAGAAGCAAGTCCTACTTCGATATTGAATTTCCCAGACTGTATATATATTATTATTACTACTAACCGCATTTCTGGATCTACTAACCGTATTACCAATTGTATTATTACGTCAACACATTTATTTGCTATATTTCATTCCTGCGTTTGTCATTCATTTGAGACCGGATTTCATCCCGTAATCCACAACAATATCTAGCTTTCCTAGCCGATCAAAAAGAGCTTTTTACTGTAGCGGACGCTGAATTTTCACCTACCGCGATGAACGAGTGTTTTCTCAGTGAGGCCTCGTGCCTTGAGCACTTACTGGAACTTAAGCTCAAGACGGACCTCATGTGGAACTCGTACATATGATCCACCGATAAGCGTTCCATTAAGTGCGTGACATACCTGACGAGTTTGAGCAGGTGTATGACAGAACATGATTTGAGCGGGAAGCAGATAGAAGGAACTTGTTGAGAGATGCAAGGGATAGAGGGAGGTGGAGAGCCATGATCTCCTACGCCCTGAAAGGACATGGCGCATAAAAAGAAAAAAAAATCGTTTTTTTATTGCTTATCAAGCCTTTGCAGAATTTATAGAAAATACATTTTAGATTATAAGATTTTCTTTTATTTTTGGTGATAATGATTTCGCGATACAAGTCTTATAATTAACCCATATTTGGGGTGAGAAAATGTGTAGTCATACCTTACCCAAGGCTATTTTCGAATAAGGGAATATAACAAACAAAACTGGAATCGGAACTCGGCTCTCCAATTAACATTTCCGAGACATACACCACCTGCACGTCCACGCTAACAGCATTTGGTATTCCCAAGCGGTCACACATCAAAGTAATGGCCAGGCTCGGCATTACGTAACTTTGATGAACGTACGTCAACCATTTATACCATGTTTAACACACACACACACACACACACACACACACACACACACACACACACACACACAGACAGACAGACAGACACACACACACACACACACACACACAGACAGACAGACACACACACACACATTTGTGCGAATATATTTATTCACATTGTCTTTTTCCAGATATATTTTTTAATTATATCTGAATTTTTATACACATGTTTGTATTTTAATATATTTTCCGTTTATACGTTATTTTTTTATCGAAAACAATAAATATATTAAAATAATTGGCGGACTTAATACATTTCATAATATATACTTTTATATATATATTTGCTCTCTCCTCTTTATCCAAATACCAATACCCAATCTCTCTCTCTCTCTCTCTCTCTATCTATCTATCTATATATATATATATATATATATATATATATTGTGTGTGTGGTTAAAGATAAAAAATATATCTTACATTTTTTTTTCTTCTGATCTATCCCCTGCGGTTTACGATCTGTGAACTGGAGCGGGGAGCAAGTTCCTCCTCCTGAACTGCATTGACCATATATCGAACGCCAATGGCGCCATCCGTTCAACCAATCCTGGCTTACAATATCTATCTTTCTCGGGACGCCGCCCCATCATGTCTTTCCAGTCGACTGGGTCCAAACATTTCATCGTTTCCATCACATGGGTGCCTCCCGTTAGGAATTGGCTTCATAGAGATGGCCGTGCAAAAACTGGTTAATTTAATAAGGCATCCGTTAATTTGGGGTTTGGGGTCTACTGATCAGATGGTATTGAGCTTCAACTGAAGACATCAACACAAGCGAAAGTGGTTTACAGTTTTGTATACAGTTTAGGCGTCAAGGGGTGGAGCATGTGCCGAGCGATTTAAATCAACCATTAAAAGTTATATTCTTTTCAACATTTTTTTTTCTGTTTTCGAGAGGAAATATAAGATTACATGCGAACAAGGAAAGAGTTATATGGATACACGAATATATAAATAGGAAAGAATCAAGTATGCTTTTTCGCAAGGTACTGATTCAAACTATACAGTGATTTTTTGTTTGTTTGTTTTTTTACATTAAGATTCATCCTGTATAAGACCCGGGGGGGGGCCACTCGACTTAGAGGATTACGTTAAGTGGTAGTTTATATAGAAAGGAGAAGATAACGGTTAACACTAGACTTGAACAGGTTAAGATTGTAGTGACAGGGGAAACACCCTCTTGGGAGCCTGTTCCACAGAGCAGTGTTTCGCGTAAAGAATCTCTTCGAGTGGAACTTACTTTTCTCACTGATGGAATTAGGAGGGATATATATAGCTGGTTTGCTAAAAGTGCCTTGGCGGGCCCCAGCCGTGAAGTTTAGACCTAGCGGAACGGACGTATGTAGTTCGTCCGAGCACTTTCTGCAGAAGTAGCGATAGCGCAGTGAGAGGCTACCCACATCCCGCCTGGGAGAGAGAGAGAGAGATTGAGGGTGGAAAATAATTCGTCCCCCACAAGGACACGGAGGCGCTGTTGAATTCTGTCGAAACTGGAAACTAAGGACTGGACAGCTCCCACCGAAATATGACAAGGGTATTCAAATTTAGACCTGATATAACTCTTGAAACGGTAGAATATATCATGAGGAATCAAGTACTTATGGAGGCGGTACGGGAGACTACCATTTTGATTGCATCTTTAGCGATGAAACGTATGTACGAATACCACTTGAGGTCAGGTGTGAGATTGAGGTCCAATATTCTCTCAACGCACAGTATATAATTAATTATATATCTTTTTTTTTTAAATATCATTGGCTTGACTTGACTTGTATCGGTTTTCACCCTGGTCTGGTAGAACCGGCTTCCTCCCGAGAAAGTACAGCATCACGGACCATTGCTGCCCCCGCTCGCCGATCCTGAGCCAGGTCACACGAAATGGGTAGCCAATCACGATTCCATCGT